GGCACAAAAAAGGCTCCACAACCCTAAGTGCCCTGCCAATCATTCAGTTCCATCAAGAAAAATACAGTTTTTCCAATAAACTTCAGGAAAGGAGTCGACTTCATGAGATTTTTTTCCCCCCTCAAACCACAGTGTACAGCCACAAACTCAAATCCTGACTGTTACCTGTTGTTCTATATTCTTAAGCATACATGAGTGGGCCTTGTGTGTTTAATACAGGCCTTAACATACTTTCCACAGTAAATCACCATCATATGATGCTTTATGTTGTCAGTGCAAGGTTTTAAGCAAACATCCATTGTCAAATTTTAAGAGGCTTGTTTACTCTGCATATAAGCCTATGCAAAGTAACATTACTGGTGCAGGGCACACAAAAAATCAGAGCATTAGCTGAATTTTACAGTAAAGGTCTACAAACAAATTCTAGAAACCTAAGGGACAAAGCAGCATTACTGTCACCTCATTTGTGTTCCATAACAAGTATTAAAAATGCATTAAAAAAATCTATGAGTGGGTCAGATGAATACCAGGCAGCATGCGGAAGTACTGTGACAAGAAATGGCCAAGGTTATGCCTGAAGTTAGACCACACTGCAACCATACTCACCGGTAGCGTGGCGTGCTCTATAGCATTGCCCTACAGAAGATAGACAGAGACAAAAATGTAGGTCAAAAGGTCACATTTATGAATCCCCTTGGGTTCAAATGAAGTCGGTCAACCGCACTGTCCCATATCAACTTGGCCAAACTGTTTACGATCGATACAGAAAGTCCCTCTGAGTGTCAAAGATGGTTTGTGGTCAGGTGGGAGAGGCCGAGCAAGAGAGTGTGACTGATGGGACTGTGGCTTTGGAGTCATTACCAGAGTTTTTGGCTGTGAACTTGATTGCAGGGCCACTTTCACACACACAAACGGTCAGTTCTTGTCCTTTCCTGAAAACCATCAGGAGTGTGAACTGGGGACACGGATGGGGCTGACTGAAACAGGATGCACTATGTTCACATGCAGAGCTGGAATGTGCAAACACAATAATATAAGCAGCATATCTGGAAGAGTACACGATCGTTTGACCGTACGTGTGTGGTTTGGTGTTTTGAGTGTATGAGTGTGTATGCGTCGACGGAGAAAGTGAGACATTCAGCCTGACCTTAACCCAACCTGGGGTCGTACAAACATTGCCCCCTGTTGGTCAAATCCAGCCAAGAATGTGAGGGCTGTTTTGCAGCGGGCTGAAAGGGTCGTACTTCTCTGTTACTGAAAGCTTAAAAAAAGGGCAGTCAGGATTTAAGAGATTACAGGAGTGCAGGAAGCAGCATTACTGCCACCAGCCCTGGATCAGAGACAATTCCAACCAGTTATGCAGACACGAGAAGGTGTTTGGTTGAGGCCCGTAGGAAGGAAAACTCTTAAATTCTTTGATTATCAGAACTCCCTCATGACAGGGGTCAGGGCCGGGCTGTGCCCGTGCTAAACTTCCTTAACCAAAGCTGAAACCTAAGGTCACGCAACAAGATCTTTTTAACTCCATATCAGCTGAGCCACACTAGGGCTTGCAAGCCCAGAACACTGCAATCCTCTTATTTGCTACGACCATACTTAGCTTTCCATCAAAGTTCAAGTGTACTGTGAGTACAATCTTCTTTAAAGCGATGGTGTCAAATAGGGGAGACCACAGGCTTAGGCAGAGCATGTTGGGTACAAGGATGGATTATGGCCCAGGCCAACAGAGCCTGTGCACCAGGACCATGAGGTGAAAGACAAATAGCATGACAAATAAACATTTTAAATAATAATAATAATAATAATAATAATTTAACATTTGTATGAAATAATTAATTACATGCATTATTGTTATTATTATTATTAATAATAATAATAATAAATTATTGACATACACAACTAATCAAAAGTTTGGATTCAGTATGATCTTTTTTAATAAATTAAATAAAATATTTTATTCAGCTAGGATGCAGGATCAAAAGTGACAGTAAATACACAAATTTACAATGTTGCAAAAGATTTCTTTCAAATAAATGCTGTTCTTTTGAAACTCCTATTCATCAAAAAAATCCTGAAGAAATGCATCAATGTTTGAATTTCAATGTTTCAACAAAAAATGTTGAATTTCGAATATTCGCCGAATTTAAAATAAAAATCCACATTCGAATGCAAAAACGTTGCATTCGAATTTTAGGTGTGTGACAGGCAGTATTATCAGTGATAGGGCTGAACGATTTTGGAAAAAAATCTAATTGCGATATTTTTTTACCAATATTGCAATTGCGATTTAATATGCAATTTTTTTTTTTAAAGCTCTTTATGTTCTGTATTATTCAACAAAGACAAGCTATAAATCATTGTATAGTATGACCAACACACTATTAGACAGATTAAACATAAATGTTCTTTTCCGTAGGCCAGGCCTATATGTTACGATGAAATTAGGTGATGCATGAATTGATATGAATGACATTTTTATTTAACAACTACAATCACAGTATATTGACTGATTTGTTGAAATTCAAACCTTGTAAGCATGTAATAATTATGACAACATAAAGCACTGACAAATAAGCCTGGTGTAAACATTAATATGAAAGTCAGTAACAAATCACACAAACTAAAGTAGATTACAGAAATATAAAAACAAATCTGCTGCTTTACCACACTACTTTAGGTAATTCACAGTCACTGTAATAAACATATTTAAACATGTGCACTGCACTTTTTAAACACTGTCTGTTAACTTTAGACCAGTGGCTCTCAAACTTTTTTGGTTGCGTCCCCCTCAGACTACCAAATAATTTCACAAAACATTATGAAAAATTAATGTTTTTTTAATTAAAAAAACCTACAGGGAAAAAAACATCTGCATCACTTGAAACACTGAAAAATAGCATAGAGAGAATAACTTATTATTATTATTCTCTCTGTTATTTATACATTTTTTGTGGGTTTCTTGCTGTCTGCTAAGGCATAGGACACACAGGCTTTCCTCCTCACCAACGACATTAAACACCATGTCTACACCGGACGCGAGCGGCAAAATACAGTAGAACCCATTATAATCAGTGACGCTGTCTACACTGGATGCAGCGGAACATTAAACTGATGCCTTGTTCTATTTATGACGTACTGACACAAAGTTCAAATGATTTGCAACGGTCGCTTTGTCACGTCCAGTGTAGAGCTGCTGTGGTGCGACGCGACAACTGTAGCGTCTGGTATAGACACGGTGAGTGAAGCCGAGAGCAAGATATGCCTCGTCATAGTTTCTGCATTTAGCTTTTAAATGACCAGCACCTGCCTGGGTCTGTGCGACTTCATCTATGGCTTTTCTCTTCGCTTTCACAAACCGATCCATCTCCCATTCTAAGTTACGTCCTTTGGCTGTTTACTTATTTATTTTCATTTTCTGCTGATGGCCCTCGCTCGACTTGAAGCAGCGCTGCTTAGACCGATGGGTGTGTGTCATCAAAGTACTGCGAGAGCTATAAGAGAGCGCGGACGTCTCCTTATTCTTTCTCTCGCTGTACTTTGATGTCATACACTGATCTGATCTTCAAGTCGAACACACCTCTTTACTCTCGCGTGTCACGTGACCGTGTAATCGCAACCTCTGCGATTGAAAAATCTAATTTTTTCATATCGCGATATTATCGCAAATGCAATTAATCGTTCAGCCCTAATCAGTGATGCACAAAATGCGACGACGATGTAAGTGTCATTGCGTTTGAATGCTTTTGTTATCCAGTTGAACCCACTAGATGCGGCGCTGCTACGTTGTTCATTCAAAATATTGCAGAAAAAGAGAACAATCAGTGCGGGGAAGATGTTGTTTACGTCAAAACCGAAACCAAGCCGTTCACACAGAACGCATATTTATCGCATTTTCTAGAGGGACATCTATCACCGTTGCACTCGCGTCTCGCACAAGAGAGACGCATGTTTAGAAAGCTATGTAAAATTTATGTAAGTTCAACTTTTAAAAAACATGTCTCAAGACTTTATGGCAGTTTTCCCCATCCCACTCTCAAGTTTTTAAATGAAGAAAGTACTCTTTGAGATTGGTTTTCGGTCTTTTGTATTAAACTATACATACATGCATGATGCTGTTTTGTTTCCAATTGTTTAAGCAACTTTATTAATTATATAAGGTTTATAAACATTATTTTAAACATTACGCACTTTTTTCCAAAGATAGTCGTGTTATTTTATTATGCTTTGAAGAAACGTGCATAATATTTTGCTCGATGCGCCCTCTTGTGGCCTCAGAAGAGAAGCCAAAGCTTTTTTTCCCCCTAACTGGAATTATGACTTTTAAATTAGAATATAATTTGAATATTGATCATATTTAAGTAAAAAATTCGAATTTAGTTTTTCAGCCATTTTGACAGCCCTAACTGATACTAATGGAAAAGTTTCTTGAGCACAAAATCAGCATATAAGAATGATTTTATGAAGGATCATGTGACACTTAAGACTGGAGTAATGATGCTAAAAATGCAGCTGTCATTACATAGATAAATTACATTTTAAAATACATTAAAACAGTCAAGTTATTTTAAATTGTAATACCATTTCACAATATTGCTGTTTTTTTATCAAATAAATTCAGCTTTAGTAAGCATGGGAAATCTTACCAATCCCAAACGTTTGAATGGTAGTGTGTATAAAACTGATGTAAATGAGCAAAAGAGAAGCAAAGTGAGTGCCACCCTAGACGGTTGCCTTCGTCGCCACTACAAGATCATACTTTAGACCTACATCAGTTCTATTTTTAAGGAGCAAAAGTTGTTTTAGCAAAATATAAAGCTGCAATATCAGGAAGGATAGAAAGTCAAAATTCAGACTAAAGTGAAATTTGGAATTGGACAGGACCATAATCTTTTCTTGGCTGTGTCCAAAAGCTGTAATTATTTTAAGTAATCAGAGTGCAAAAATGGCTTTTAAACAAAAAGAGAAAAATCTTCATAAGTGTGTGTGGATGAAATACTCACGGGCAGGTGAGTGAACACTGCAAAAGTGCTACAGAGGAAAGCGATGAGGTCACTCAGGTAGTCACTGGCCTGCCCACCTCCCTGTGCTGCCATCCAATCATAATCAGCCAGCTGCAGAAACTGGTCAATTTTTTTATTCAGGTTAGTGTAGATCTCCTCTTCAGCGGCATGCCTTGCGTCCTATACAGAAAGAAAGAGAAGAGAATAAACAGGCACAATATGTATTGTAAAAATACTGAATAATAATCCACACAATCCATGTGTGTGTGTGGGGGGGGTGGGGGGGGGGGGGGGCCACCTTAGCTCCTACCTTGAAGGTGGAGGTTCCATAGAGTTTGGTGGCATTAATGGTATCAGGAGGCACGTTGGTTATGTTGGAGATGAACTCTTCTAGGTAGTGACAGGACTGCTCCAGGTGAGTGGTGTTGATGATGATCTGAACCAACTTTGGGAATCAAATGTGATTTCAAATTCTGACTAATCCATTTTTGTCCAAATCAGTTTTTACTGGCAAAGCACAATTAGTTACATGCATGAAAAGGCAAAGTTTTGCAGGTTTGTGTCATTGAAGACATGAGTAACTGGAGTAATGGCTGCTGAGTAATGGCTTCATTCCTGTAATGGCAAATTCAGCTTTGCCATTACAGGAATTAATTAAATTTGACAATAGAAACAGAAAACATTATTTCACAATATTACTGTTTTTACTGTATTTTTGTTCAAATAAATGCTGCTTTAGTGAGAATAAAACTTCTTTAAATAAAAAATTACCAACCACAAACTTTTAAGCAGTAGTGAATATTACTTTGCTAAACTTCATTTATACAGTTATGTTGCTAGATCAGCATCTTTTACTGGTACAGGTACACATCTAATAGAGCTTGTCTTTCAATAATAATGCAGCATATTTTTAACTGACCTTAGTAAAACTGCATAGGTAGTACAGTCATCACAGAGAAAAGCAGTGCTTTCGGGAAAAAATTCTGGAGGTATGAGTAATAACAACCAGCAAAAGCCCCAAGTGGGAGTAATTCCAAAGGGGAAAGGGCATAGAGAGGAAGTCAAGGGTACATTTAAAGGGACAGAGAGAATCTGTCTGTGGGAAACAGACCAGGAGCTATTCTACGTTCAGTTAGCTGTTCTGTGGTGTAGAGTTTGAGGTCCACAGGCAGGGCAAGGCTGTCAGCAGCAAGGCACTGAGGCACATTGGTGCTAATTGAGCCCAGACATTTAACTTGGACCCGGTCTTCCCTCCCTCCCTCTCTCTCTCCAGTCATGGTGCACCATGCAGGGAGGGAAGCCCAATGCAGAGCCCGGGTCACACTTCCTCCAGATCCGGGGCAAGACAGGGGGAGGAAGGAGCTTGATATCTGATCTGATCTGGTGTGTGTGTGTGTGTGTGTGTGTGTGTGTGTGTGTGTGTGTGTGTGTGTGAAGGTAGTTGTAAGACTAGACTTTGCTGTGCAAACTACCTGAAACCAACAATAAAGCTTTTGCTTTTTTTAAATACAATACTGAAAGTCTTTCTTTCTTTCTCTGCTATTCTTTCATCATTTTCTCATCAGCGGCACCCAACTGAACCAAACATATCTGGATTTGAGGGGTTATAAACGGGCCAGACTGCAAGCAGAATCAGCAGAGCAGAGAAGAAACTAACCACATTTGAGCGAGAAACACGGGCAGAGAAAAGCAGAGATGGAGTGAGAGCAGGGTGGGAAAAATTACCCATGCCACCAGCCAGTGGCAGGTCATTTTGCCATACCTGCCTGTCACTGTTGTGGACAGTCCATTTCAAATTGGCCTTTGACATTAAAGGAACACTCCACTATTTTTGAAAATAGGCTCATTTTCCAACTCCCCTGGAGTTAAAGTTGAGTTTAAGTTGAGTTTTACCATTTTCAAATCCATTCAGCCGATCTCCGGGTCTGGCGGTAACACTTTTAGCTGTAGCTTAGCATTGATCATTGAATCTGATGGGTGGAACCATGGGTGCAGCAGGCGCAATGATATTACACAGCGCCTGAAAATAGGCTTATTGGAAGTTACCTAGCTGGGACTATTTTCAGGTGCTGCGTAATATCATTGCGCCTGCTGCACCCATGGCACGGCAGCAAAGTTCCTTGATTATTACGCCGGAATGGGAGTATAGTTTCTAACCATATCGGCCTAGAAAATCGCAACTTTTAATTTTCCGTCGGTCTTAGTACATGATGTAACTACAGAAAAGTCAAGTTTTAAATAGGAAAAATATAGAAACTCTTTGGTCATTTTTGAGCGAGATGCTAACGGTCTAATCAGATTCAATGATCTATGCTAAGCTACAGCTAAAAGTGCTACCGCCAGACCCGGAGATCGGCTGTATGGATTCGAAAACGGTAAAACTCAACTGTTTAACTCTAGGGGAGTTGGAAAATTAGCCTATTTTTAAAAAATAGTGGAGTGTTCCTTTAAATGCAGTTTTTTAGATACAGCAATGCACTTTTTTTTTAAGTAACAAATTTTGAAGAGTCTGATCATTATTTGTCAAGATCAAGAGTTTTATTTGATTTAAATAAAAAATAGCTGGTAAAATAGCTGGTAATTAAAAAAAAAAAATGGTTCCCATCCTCGGTGAGAAAAGAAAGGCTACTAGAGTTTTAAAGTGGTCTATCTACAAGACATGTGGAGAGTGAAATAATCTTATTATTCAAGACCAGGTTTCCACTAGTGCAGAAAACTAGAAGAGAGTGGACTGATACAACATCAATGAGGAGCAACATGGATGTGGGAATATAAACACAGAAACAGATGGAAGAAAATAAAAAGATCCTCACCTCTGCCAGTCCTACGTTTTTCTTCTTTATGGCATAGTGTAGGCAGTGGCTAAGGGTTCGTGTGAGCAGGAGGTTTGTAGACTTGCGGATCATGTCATCAATTTCTGTAGAGCTGAACATGAAAATTCACCTAATTAGGATAATAGTTATAAATACATACGTTTATATCTATAAAGTAAATCCATAACACCAATATTCAGGATTGGAGGGGCAAACTGTACCAGCAGGGGGCCGTGTCCTGCCCCACACACAACAGGAAATTTATTCAATTATTTCCTCTTTTTAATAAGGAATCTGTATTAGCTGACCCGAAAAATGTATAAGATGCTCAAAGTCTAAGTTACTTAGAGCCCTTAAATTAAATACACTACTGTTAAAAAGATTGAGGTCAGCCGTTTTAGTTTTTTTTTTATGAATGAATACATTTATTTTGCAAAAATGCATTACACTGATTAAAAGTGACAGTAAAGATCTTGTTACAAAAAAATTATTTCAAATAAACACTGTTCTTCTGAACTAGAGAATCCTAAAAAAAAGTCAAGGTCAGATTTATTTATAAAGCACCATTAAAGCAACGTAAGTGCTGACCAAAGTGCTGACAAAACATGACATATCACTCTACAATAGAAAGGCTTTCTTCTATCCTAAAAAAAAAAGTATCACGGTTGATACAAAAATACTAAGCAGCACAAGTTTTCAACATTAATAATTAAAAAATTTATAAATAAATAAATAGTAATAGAATAAATAATAGAATAAATGAAGCATTGGTGAGCCTAAGAGACTCCTGGTCTCATTGAACACTTCTAGAAATACTTGGTGCAAATGATTTTCTTTCAGACCCAACATATGGAGAACAGAATCCTTAGTGAGATGTTTTTGTGGTCCAGATTTACATAAGCATCGTTCTGACTCACAGAGTGTCCCATGTGCTCTAATCACACCCTTAATACTCCACCTCCTCAGAGAGAAAAAAGGCACAAAGTGAAAACAAAAGTATGTAGTGAATAAGATGGAGAGGCCTACACACATGAACACTCACAGACACAGACTTTGGGTGGGATTTAAAACCACTCATCAGGGCCCAATAACACCCTCTGGATTTCAGTAACGCATGTTCCAAAAACCAAAGAACAACCACACACAGATATACTGTTTAAATCAACATGCGGGAAAAAGGGGGATATCACTTTTCTTTACTCTTCTCTTTTATTGAAGACTGGTGGGGGTGAGGAGGAGTAAATCTTTCTCTACTTCCCCCCACAGATTGGTTCACAAATAATTAAAAGAGTCAAAAGAAAGAAAGGGACAATATGTCTCAAGCGTGTCTGTCAATGGGAGCCAAGGCCCAGGGTGCAATAGTTTTCCCCCTCAATCTGGGCAACAAACACATTCCTCGCAAATTACTAAATCATCGCTCATTGTGTTGAGAAAAGCAGAGGAGGAATTTGAAAAACGTTCCTCTCCTCAGCAGGGGGAACATCTCTGAGCTCCCTCCACTGACTTGGCAAGAGGAGAGCCGAATGGAGCAGAGAGATGAAGGACATAAAGAGAGAAAAGGAGGTGCCATTCGACCACAAGATGATGAGAAGTTGCTTTTAGACCAATGCTCAGATTAAAATATGAGCAACTACTGTCCTGCTGCAAACTCTAGGTAACCATGAGACATTTTCTGTGTCTGTTTCGTTTAAGCTTTGTTCAAATTTTAGCAAATGGAATGTTGGGTTACGGTCATTGGCTTGTTGATTACGATAAAATAGCTCTGATTTTGTACGTCACAATTTGGAAATGTTCCCGGTATAGAACTAGGGTGAAAAAGAAAGGCCTGGCTTTAAATTGAGGACTTAAAGTGAGGCATTGTTCTTTTTGTGATGATCTGGAAACTGACAGTTTCTGGATGAATCCAAAGGCCTCTGGCTATTCCTCATCTAAAGAGGGAGGGGGCTACAAAACAGAAAGAGAAATTGTAGTCTGATTAAAAACAGACGGTTTACTGACATTTACATTTGATTTATTCATCCATTTAACTCTCACTATTTCAGTGAAAATTAGGGTTGGGATCGGTCTGATAAACAATGATCTGAGAGAAACAGATGAGCAGGGAACCAACGGAGACTGAAAATGTCCAATTAACTTCATTGGAAAAAGAGAAACTAAGCAGAAGCAGCAAGCGAGACAGATACAGCTCACATCAGTTAGCACAGAACGTATGTTCATTAGTTATTCAACCATCACAAAGAGTAACGTTACAGCTAGCTTCAACTCAAGGGTAACTTCAGGTTAATATGGTAAATGCGCATTTGTAAAGCGGCTCTTGTGAAGGAGGTCTAAAGTTCATGCATTGGTTGGGGGGGGGTCACATACATTCCTAATGTCTGGTCTCCAGGCACCTGCACATGGACTTGACCCCCCTTCCTTCCCCCTCTGACCGCATCTCATCTCAATATTAGTGGAGAGAGACCACAAATACTAATTGCCTCCGGTGGCCTAGTCAGGGTAGTATGCAGAGCTGTTCCTTTGCTCCTTTGGTGTGTCAGTCATAGGTTTCCGTTTCTAATATCAACAGGGTTTTTTTCTCAACACCCTTCCACACATACCCAGAATCCTGACCCCATCATCCAAGACCTCTGGTTGAATGCCATCTGGCTGCTTCTTGCCCTCTTACTCAATCACACTTGTGCTAATAGGGAGTAATTTTTACAAATTTGTCAAATACGAAGATCCAGCGAGTCGAGACATTATTTGATAGTATTCTTAAACTAGCTGTGTGTATGGGGGATTTTGGCTTGATCTGGAGCCCCTGGACCCCACACACCGAGGCACTCCTGTGAGCGCAGCCAAAAGAGGTCAGATGTTTATTGTTGAATTTTAACTGACATTTGAGCATGGGGCTCAGCCACGTTCTAAAAACCACATAAGGACATGACTGGTGAATGTGAGGAGGCAGTGAGTAGCCAAAGTCTTGGTAGGGGTCCCAATAAAAGTGAGACAACTTCCTCCGCCAACATACATACAGTATTATATATGGCATGGACACCTTTAAAACACAATACAAATGTAAAATACTAAATGGCTTCTTTTTGAGTACTATTCCCACAGAGTTTAAAAGCCAATGTTTTGATTTAACCACTACGTATAGGATAATGTTTAGTGATGACTATACAAAAACCTTTAACTGCAGACCGCCACAATCGATCAGACATAATCACGTATTCTAGACAGCCATGCAATAAATTAGTTTTGATTATGTTTTTCCATCTAACCAAAGGGTGCCTCATTTATAATCGAGGATCAGACTGATCAAAATTGCAAGCAAATAGAACTCACCACCAGTGTGAATGCCTGTAGATTAAACAATTACACAAAATTAGTAATTAGGGAGATTTAACCAAACAATTCACTTTGACAAGAAAAAGAGAATACCGCTGTTCTTGGCTGAAAAACTTTATACATATTTCTAATTATTAACACAAATCTGACATAAAAAAAAAAAATATATATATATATACATGATTTTAGCCCGATTTTTCCCCGATTTGCTTGACGTAGGGTGTCGTGGGGATTCGTAAACGACAATGGGCGTCGGGACGCAAGATTTCATCGTTTCAGCACGTGTAGTGTGTCATAGTGGACGACAACCAATTCCGCGTCTGCGATGCTTCACGACATCACAACAGAAAAACTAGCAGGTTTAATTTTTTTTCCATCATCCACGACAAGTTCTGTCACATTGGTGACGTTGACCAATAGCAGCACAGAAGCTCTTTCATACACAGGTTTCAAACATGGAAAAACGAAAGAGAGATGATGGTGCTGCTAGGTGGAATTATGAGATGGAGGAAAGGTTCGTGAAGCTGTGGCAACCGTACTCCTGCCTGTATGAAGTGTCATCGAGGGACTACCATGAAAGAACAAACAAAGAAAAATGGTGGAGAACTATAGCGGAAGCACTTCAGTAATGTTTACACTCTTGTTTTTGGAAGTCAGTTGCTAGTTCCGCCTTCTCGATGACATCATGCGCGTCATTAAAGACGGCACGCGATGAATGGTCGGGAAGCAACGTATAGTCTGACATGTTTCTTGTCCATGACATGACAAGATTTTAGGAGACAAAATCGTGTAATCTGACACAGTGACTATCGTGACCGACCAAAATATCATGTAGTCTGAACCCGGCATTACACTTCAACAGCATCAAATCATTATTACTAATGTAGGTTTATTACATTTAATAATTATCGATTGGAGACATGAAAACAATTCACTTCTTACTCCTAATATTTTACTTGTACATGTCCATTTCACATAAACGTAGATTTAGATTACATTCAAACATTTCGCAGATGTGTGCAGCTCTGTGATGTTACACAAAATTAAAAGAAATGTTCTGCTTCTTTCAGATCCAAACTATAACAACACAACAAATTAGGCTGTCCTAAGAAATGAAAAAGACTAAAAATAGAATAATACAAATCAATAGAACAAAAAATGAGAATAATACTCATTATTAATAGTTGCATTTTTATCATATTTTTCCCTTAAATAATCTTGCAGGTGTGATTGGGCTCCAATACTTTGCACCTCTGATATAAACCAAGAATTTACCCTCAATGTCCAGAGCAGCTACAGAGCAGCTGGACAGTTTAGAAGAATTTAGCACGCACAGACTCTGTCAGACAGGAAAAAGGTATTATTGCTCATTTAAAATCATTCTTGCAGTGATTGTAGAATGTATCTCCAAAAACAATACTTGCACTGCAAAGGTAGTCTTTGGACAGGGCAATCAGTGCTTGAGATTAAGCCAATGAGCTGGGAAATACATTCACCTTTTCAAGACTTTTCTACTGTTATCATGGGCATCATCTTTCTGACCACTCTACAGGCGACACTGTTAAGAGTGTCTGGCTGGCTAGACAGTTTCTCAGACACTAATCACTAATGATGATGATAATGGAGTAGTAATTTGGTAGGATGCCGGTTTCTACGTGTTCTCTGTCCTGAATCATGTTCCATCATTTCCTCAGTAAACCTTCTAAACTGCAACACAAACCCAAAAACTGCACAAACATACACACAAGGATTAGCATACCCAACCGGGACATCCGCTTCTAA